AATTTACATTAATTTTGGATTGCAAATAATTTGTTATATATTGTTTTATGAATGTTGCTCAGCGTGTCGACAAGAATATATTAATTACAGTTGTCTTAATTTCATCACCTGGAAAAAAGAATCTTTTAATTTTCGTTAACGTTAAGATTAAAATTTTAATTATTAATTTAGAAATAAAATGTAAAATTCAAATATAAAACTAAAAGTGACTTATAAAATTAAAAATGTTACTATGAAACTAAAAATTTGAATTATAGATCAATTTTACTTATGAAAATTAAAAAATCATTAATGCTACAGATGCTTAGAAGTAAATAAGCTTACTTTATTTTTTCTTATAAATTAAACCACTACAAAAATAATTGTAATAAAATACAAAATTGGCTAACTGAAAACATCCATTTTAAAAGTATGATTTGAAAAATATTTCAAGAGTAAATACAAATTTTCTTTCTACTAATTTAGACTTCACTTTCAATATTAAAAAGAACTAAATAGTATTATTTATTTTTAAAAGAGTATAAAATTAGAAAATATTTATAAAAAAGGATCTTAATGTCTAGTAGTAATCACGATTCATTGACTGCATATTTGAATTTAGCTATGAAACTATGTACTATTCACACTCCCCAATGAGGGTTGTTTTTTCAATATTTCTATCTATTTTTTTCTTTGAAAAACTGGTAACTTCGCGTTTTATCTTTGTTTATACAAAAAGAAAAGAAAAATTGTTTACACAATAACAAAATGTTATTCATTGCAAAATACTCGTTTGCCAGCGTGATTAGTACGTATATGTTGATACAAATTCCCTCGTTGTTTCGTTCGATGAGAGCAATAGGGACACAAAAAACGTGGCTCTTTATTACACTCGTGTCGTGAATGCCGCAAAAGTGTCGCTCGATGTTGATAACGTTTTCCACATTGTTGACAACTGTAAGGAAATTCGGCTCGTTGTTTCACAAGCCAAATTGCCGCGAGATCAGATATCGATGGTGACAGTGAAATATTTTCCAAATTTTTTGGCATTATTGCTCGTTCGCCGGCTGATCCTGAAAATAAAAGGTGAATGTTAATACAAAATTTTTAATAACAGGGTTTTTTGAAAAAAGAATGATTTGTTATTAATTTCTTCGATCGAAGTAGTCTTTTTTTATAAAGTTATTGTAAAATTATAGTAAAGTTATTGTAAAGATATTGTAAAGATATTGTAAATTATTGTAAAAGTATTGTAAAATTATTGTAAAGTTATTGTAAAATTATTGTAAAGTTAATTTTTGTTCAATTCATTTTTGAATACGAAAAAATTTTGCAAGTTCAGCAATCTTAGAGTAGTAGCATGCTGGATTTATCAAAAAATATACTCGAAAGAAATCTCCAAACCAAGTTCCACAAATTTATACTTTTTCCCAAAACTTAATTTTGACAAATGGTTATTAAATGTTATTCTAGAAGCCAAATTCAAAATGCCAATAGGTATCGAAATTTTGTCATAGGTAAATAAATTGTACCACAAACACTCGGGAAATAAAATCCTGGACTTACGAGATATTTTTTTTAAAATTCACAAATTTTGAGCAGTTAAAAGATATTTAAAAAAATATTCACAAATTGTTACTCAATTTTTCAGTTTTTATTCTCTCATTAAAAAAATAGAATCTAATAATATAACTGTACAAACAAGATGAATTTTCCTCTTAGTAGCTAATTTTTGATTTAATGATAATTTTGAAAAAGAGCGAGTAATTTGAATGCACTTAAATTCAAACACTTTTTTCTTCCTTCTTGGTTAAAGAAATAATAATTAAATTTAAAGTCGTTTTTTACAAGTCTTAAAATGTTGACGCAAAGTCATCCTTGTGTTATAAGGTACTCCACATTTAGGACACAGGAATGTTTCAATTTCTCGTCTTGAATGAAATACTAATTGTTTCAATATATGTACACCAGATTTTTTGAAGATACCAGTGGTCACTGAAAGCATACCAAATAAGAAAGATTAAAATTTATTCTTCTACAAAATGTTATTCAATATTTTATTGTGAGTTAGTAGATTGTTGAATCTGAAAAAAATGTACTCATTACTTTTATTCAAGAAATATATAATAATATTTATATATCCTTTAAATAAATTAAAATTAGAATTAAAAAAAATAAATAATAATAAATAATAAATAATAAAATATATAAATAATAATAATAGTAAATAATAGAAAAAAATTTCTTTTTTTAATTGTTAAATAACTTTTAAAAAGTTGAAAAACTACAGAAAATAATCGAAATATTTAGTAGTCGTTCCCTTCTTCAGATTCCATTTTTTTCGAAATAAAATACTATTAAACAAATAAAAACGGTGAAATTAATGAAAAATTATTTTTATTTTTCACATTTTTATACATTTTTACTGTTGATTTTATTGACGAAAATGTGTCTTGTATAAAAGAAGGTAAATATTTGGTATTTAAAAATAATTTGGTCCGTAGAAAAAAGGTTTTCTTTTCTGAATGTAATAAAAATTGAAATTTTTCATATAGACAAATTTTAGTAAAGTAAAATTTTGATTAATTTTAGGTAGATATCAAACATTTTCTGAATAAAAAGATAAAAAAAAAGAAAGTGAGTTTTTATAAAGTGTCAGGTCGATAGAAAGAGACAAAGTTTCCTTAACGTCCCCTTTTCTTTCTCTCTCTAGCGACGCATGCGCGAACGTCCCGAGAAGCAACTGCGCTTGCGCCGCTTTTTTCTACAATCACTCTCACTTTCTTATTGGTAGAAAATTGCGCGCTTATTCAAAATACTTCAATATTTACAACAAGAAATTAACATTAATTAAAATATTTTAAAGATTTCTATATTATATGCGACAAATTTATTTATTTCTTTATTATTAAAAAATAATAGAAGGGGAAAAAAGAAACGCTCAGGCGCGATAGCGGCTGCGCGTTTCTTTTTTCCCCGCCTACTTTCTACTCACTTTCCTATTGGTAAAAAATGGCGCGCTTATTCGAAACATTTTAATATAAAAAAAATGTTAAGAAAAATTTCGAAAATAAAAAATATCAATTAGACAGATTAATATTTTTTAAAATTGTTTTTCTTTTAATATTTAATATTGAAATATTTAATATTTAATATTTAATATTTAATATTTAATATTTAATATTTAATATTTAATATTAATATTTAATATTTAATATTTAATATTTAATATTTAATATTTAATATTATATTAATATTTAATATTTAATATTTAATATTTAATATTTAATATTAAAATATTCAATATTTAATATTGAAATATTTCAATATTGAAATAAGCGCGGTTTTTTCTACCAATGAGAGAACGAGATTGGCGCAGGCGCAGTTGCTTTTCTTGACGGTCGCGCATGCGTTAAGAGAAAATAGGGGCCGTTAAGTTACTCTGTCTTTTTCTATCCACCTGATGCTTTTTCAGACTTCTCGCGTCCTTTATTCTTATATCTTTTTTTTAAGAGATGAGCAAAAATTTCTCTGCGATAAAATAATAAGTATCAGATTTAATATTATAATTACTATCGAAGATATTGTAATAATATTTTTATTTGTAATAATTTGTATATTTTAAAAAAAATGAAATAATTTCAATCTTCAAATAAGACAGAAAAACGAGTAAATCTTAAAAATTTGCAAAATTTGCAAAAATATTAAAAAATTATTTTGTTGTCATAAATTATTTTTCTCTATCTAAATGAAGTACAAAGGAGGGAAGTCCAGTGTGTTGAGTACGAATGTGCGCCAAAACATTACTCGTTTGCTTTGATCGAAATTGACAGTGTGGACATGAAAATCTTGGCGGTTGTAAACATTCGTATTTTTGATGTCTCGTTAAATTTCGATGATGACTAAATGAACTTGGACAATTTGGACATTTGAAACTTTGACCCGTTGTTTGTGCTGTTTTGCCAATACTCGCTGCTTTTCCCCTTTGATTTCGATTTGGAAAATTGCCAATTGTTGTGGTGGCGGTTGTAGTGTAATTAAAATCCATTGGAGATAACATAATACCTGAAATTTCAATAAAACCACGTTACTCAATGGAAAAAATATTTTTCAATGGAAAAAATAAATTCTTTTTAAAAATTTCATAAGCCATGCTTATAGTTGAAAAAAAATAATTGCAACAATAAACTTGTGATTCAATGATATTTAATGATAGTGAAAATATGAATTAATGAAATGAAATTGTGTGATTATAATCATGCTTACATTAATTTTGAAAAAGAGGTTTTTTTTTTGCGAAAATAATAAAATAAAAAAGTTGGTTTTATCACATTGTTTATTTTGTACGGTAGGTTAACTATGGGAACGAATTTTTATGGCACATTTTTGTAATTATTTGTAAACTTTACAGATTAATAAAAATATTTTGCAATTTAGACGAAAAAAATGATGAAAAATACCATGATGACTATTTTTTAGCACAAGACTATTTTGTCGTAAACGATAATGATGTTGCCATTTTTTATAACACAAAATACTGATAACAGAATGTAAGTACTATAGTGGTAAACAAATGTATTAAAGTACTAGTAATATAAAAATAAATGTAAAAAAGAAATTAATTCCATAACTTTGGTTATGTTTTTCCTAAACCTAATGATTGAATAAAAAAAAATATGAATGAAGTGTAAAAAATTGATGATTTACAAATGTAATCACTTTGGCAATACTTTGGTCGAAGAATAAACAATACTTTGTAGTCTCTAAAATTAAACTTCGATCATATAAAAAATACTTCGTTCTCTCTAAATTTTAATTAGTGAATAATCCTACCGAGTAGTTTTTACCATCTCAGCACAGTTATCAAATTGAGACACCCCAAAAAAAAATCATTAAAACATTTTTGACAAATGTTGTCTGAATTTGATACAGTGGACGAATTTCCACTAATTTAAAGTTTAGAGAGCTATAACATATATCTATAAACATAGTAGTAAAAAAATAATTTTTATTGACAATCTTCACATTGGCAAAAATCCAGTTTCGCCGAAATATTTCAAGTGATTCATTAGATCACAGTCAGTATTGTCAATGACAGCCTCGGGTTGCTTTGGATGATGTTTCTGCACATGCTTGAGAACCAAAATTTTTTGATGATTCCCCTTTCCGCAATATGGACAAGAAAAACGTGGTATCTGTCCACATTGATAGCTGACATGTGTAATTAACGACGTTTTCGCTTTATATCGTTTAAGACACCTATGGCACTGATATTTTTTCCCCCCTCTGCCAAGTGTCGGTTGTTTGTAATAAAATTCATCATCGTTATAATCTTCATCTTCTTTGTCACGAACTTCTTCATTGTACGTTTGTACACTTCTTTGTCTTAAAATTCTTCTCGCCACTGTAATAACAAAAAAATCACAAGTGATACAAAAATTCTTTTAAAAATTCATTACCCTTGTTTCAACATTTATTCCCAAAACGAAACACGAAGTTAGTTCATTACAGGCACTAGAATTTGAGAATTTTTTGTTATTTTCACAAACACGAATTTTTGGCAAAGATATTTATATTCTTATTTTTCTACAAGAAGGTTAATTGTTCTTAATTACTACTTAATAACTAGTTAATTATTATTTAACTATTACTCAACAGGTAGAGTACGTAACGTCCCCTCTGTTGTCGTTGCCTTTTAACGCCTGCGCGAGACTGTCACGAGAAGCAACTGCGCACGCGCGAGACCGTCACGAGAAGCAACTGCGCATGCGCTACCCAGGCGCATGCGCAGTTGCTTCTCGTGACGGTCTCGCGCGTGCGCAGTTGGAGAGAGAAAGAAAAAGAGGGGACGTTATATAAACAGCAGAATTATACTCACCTATTCATCTAAACTCTAAAAACTATTTTAAAAAGAAAATTAAAATTAAAGAAGTAGAAGTAAAAAAGAAAGATCGTGTATATTAAAAATATCATAATTTATTTGCATTTCAAACAAAAAATCAACAATTTTTCCCAGAAAAAAAAAGAATTTATGCGTGAGCATTCTTAAATAGTATGTTATTAGTAACAGTGTCTATACAAAATAATTCTTTGTTAGGATGGGCTGGAAGAATATGCCTCCAAACTTTGGCACGTTGGGTATAGCGTTTATTGCAATAGGGACAGGAGAATCGTTTTGTTATCGAGCACTCGTTTCGATAGTGGCAAAGCATGTGCTTGCGATTTTTATAGCTACGACCACAAGTAGGACATAAATGTCGACCTTCACATGGAACTTGATTAATCTCATCTTCTCCTGAATTATAGAGCCGGAATAATTCTAAAACGAAAAGAAAACAATTTATTTTATTAGTAAGATTGAAATTTGAGAGAGAAAAAACTGAGGAAACTTTTAATTATATATGTGGATGATAATAATAATAAATGTTATACGAGAGAGAGAGAGGGGTTCAAAAAATCACCATGCTTATTTGTCTGATTATGTAAAATGAATAAATGTTTTTGCTAAATGGGAGAAAAATCGGTATCTAGCTAAAACTAAATTGGTTTGGTTACTAATTCTATTTGATTCAAGTAAATTTTTTCTTTTCTTCAATTACAAATTTTGTTTTGTTCAGAAAAAATTTTATTTGATTCAAATAAATATTATTTGGTTTAGATAAGAATTTTATTTTGTTCGAGCTCTCTAGATTTGAATAAGTAAAAATGTTTACTAATTTGAATTAGTAACTGACTTTTTTCTTTTGCATTAGTAAATTTTACTAATAAATTAGTAAAATTTACTAATAAATTAGTAAAATTAACTAATTCTTTTGCATTAGTAAATTTTACTAATTCGAAAGAAGAAAGTTTATTCTACTAATAAATTAGTAGAAATTTCCACTAGTTTGTTAGTAGAATAAACTTTTTTCTTTTGAATTAGTAAATTTTATTAATAAATTTCTACTAATTTATTAGTAAAATCAACTTTTTTCTTTTGAATTAGTGAATTTTACTAATAAATAGAAATTTCTACTAATTTATTAGTAAAATGAACTTTTTTCTTTTGAATTAGTAAATTTTACTAATAAATAGAAATTTCTACTAATTTATTAGTAAAATCAACTTTTTTCTTTTGAATTAGTAAATTTTACTAACAAATAGAAATTTCTACTAATTTATCAGTAAAATCAACTTTTTTCTTTTGAATTAGTAAATTTTACTAATAAATAAACATGTCTACCAATTTATTAGTAAAATCAACTTTTTTCTTTTGAATTAGTAAATTTTACTAATAAATTAGTAGAAATTTTTATTTGTTAGTAAAATTTACTAATTCAAAAGAAAAAAGTTGATTTTACTAATAAATTAGTAGATATTTCTATTTATTAGTCAAATTTACTAATTCAAAAGAAAAAAGTGAATTAAAAAAAAATTAATTAAAATTAAAATCTAAATAAAATTTAGAGAGAGTGAAAATTTTATTTGTTCAAATAAATTTTATTTGGTTCAAAAAGAAATTTTATTTTGTTCAATTAAAAATTTTATTTGATTTCAGTAAAATTTTATTTGTTTCAAGTAAAAATTATTATTTGTGCCCAATAAAATTTTTATTTAAAATAAATAAATAATGAATAAACTCTGAGCTCTTCTCTTATGATGAAGAACTCAAACTTTATTCTTACCAAAAATTCACTGCAAAACGTTTATATTATTTTCTAAATTTGAATTAGTAAAAACTAAAAATGTTTACTAATTTGTCTTTTGCTTTTGAATAAGTAAATTTTACTAATATGTAAATTAGTAGAAATTACTAATTATTAGTAAAATTATTTGCTATTTACTAATTCAAAAGAGAAAAATTTATTCTACTAATTTTACTAATAAATAGAAATTTCTACTAAATTATTAGTAAAATTTACTAATTCAAAAGAAAAAAGTTTATTCTTCTAATTTTACTCATAGAAATCTCTACTAATTTATTAGTAAAATTTACTGATTCAAAAGAAAAAAGTTTATTCTACTAATTTTACTAATAAATTTGTAGAAATTTCTACTAGAATAAGAATAAACTTTTGTAGAATAAACTTTTTTCTTTTGAATTAGCAAATTTTACTAATAAATAGAAATTTCTACTAAATTATTAGTAAAATTTACTAATTCAAAAGAAAAAAGTTTATTCTACTAATAAATTAGTAGAAATTGATAATTATTAGTAAAACTATTTGCTATTTACTAATTCGAAAGCAAAAAATCATCAACAAATTCAAATTAATAAAGATTTTTAATTTTTTTACAAATTCAAATGTAGAGTACGTTTCGATGGCATTAGACCTAAAAAATAGAGAAACAAAAAATGCACAAATATTTAAAATTCATTAAAAAATTATACTGTCAATATTAATTATGAATAAAAAAAACCTTCAGAACCTGAAAAGAAAAAAGGAAATATTAGATGAAATAGATAATAAATAATTGTGAAGAGGAGTGGAATAAAAATATTTGACATACAAAATTACAAATTTATTTCAACAATTAACAGACAGAGAACTTTCATTTTTACATAAATACATATTTCGTAATTTTACAGAAGAATAAATATCTCACGTTATTATCTGCTTCATTTGAAAAAAAAAATTTTGTGGAATTAAAAAATCATAGCTCGATTAAATGGAAGAAATCTAAAATCAATGAATAATATTCTTTGTGTGGATAAACAGAAAATTTTTCTTTGATTAGTTTCAGCAAATAAATAAGAATTCAGTAAATACTAAATAGAATTTAAATAATTTTTATTTAGATGAAATAAATTTTTTATTTGTCCCAAGTTTTAGTATTTTAAGCAAATACTATTTAATTGACAAAAAAAAAGTTTATTGATTGATTAAAGTAAATAAAGTTGATTTAAATAAATATTTATTTTACAATAGAGAAGTAATTGTTTGTTTTACTTTTATTCTATTTATTCGAACAAAAAAATTTTTTTTATTTTATTATTTAAATAAATCTGTTAATCTAAATTAAATAATTTAATTATATTAATATCTGGTAATTTATTACAGTTATTTATAACTTATCTTAATAAAGTCATTTAATTAATTAAATTACTAATTAATAATTAGTTAATTTAATTTAATTTAATTTAAAAATAAAAAAAAAATTTTTAAATTTAAAAAATTAAATTTTAAATTTAATTTAATTTAATTTAGTCATTTAATTGATTTATTAGTGGAAATTAACTAATAATTCAGTCACTTCTGAATTTAATAATTTACAATTATTTTTTACTGCACAAAAAATAAAGTGCATACAAAATGCAAGAATACTGTACATTGATTAGAGATCAAAATTTTTATTTTTTTAACCTGCATATAGAGATCATTCTTTTACCCTAAAAAAAAGGAGAAAAAAAATTTTTAGGGTAAAAATTTACCCTAAAAGAGTAAATTTTGGGAAATTTTTAGAAAAATATATTCAAAAGAAAGAAAATTAGCAGAGTCTCAGAAGATAAACTTTCCAATCAGGATGAGCTTTTCTGACATGTCGATAGATATTGGAAGTTTTCTTACTAACTTGATCACAGTAAGGGCATTTATAGCTAGGATTCTTGTTACATTCGTCCCTGAAATGTTGTAACATGTTGTCCCATCTTCCGTAGCCTCTATTACACGTGGGACAGTGAAATTTTCCAGTCGTAATATGATAAGTTTCGTTTCTACTGGCCAATTGTTTTTGCAGACCTCGATAAAAGGCATCTAAAAATATTAATACAGAATTTTCATTTAGTAATGACGAATAGTATTCATTAATTACTGTAATAATTACTAATAATAATAATAGTCGATTAAATCATCAACATTATTGTAATAATTATTTTTTTATTATTTATTCATTGTTTCTTATTTCTAATTTCTAATTTCCAATTTCTGATTTATCTTTTATTTCTTATTTCCTACTTTTTGTTTCTAATTTTTTAATAATTTATTTATTTATTTATTTATTTATTTATTTATTAATATCCAAAGAAATTGTAAATTGTATACCATTGTTTTTCTTATTACATTACCTTTGAATAGTAAAGGTATAAAGAAAGATTTATTATTACATTCAAATAGAATACGACTTTTGCAAACAGTTTTAATTCTTCGCAATAAATAAACAAATTTCGATTAAATCAGAAGTAATTGTTTTATTTACTCAAAATACAATAATTTTCAGAATATTTTCATCCCCCAAAAATATACATGTCAAAAATTAATTTACTAAGAAGACTTAAATTGATAAGTAATATGTTGCATTATAATTATATTTTTTTATCATTTTGCCTAGTTTTCGAATTCTTCTTTCAAAAACAAATTATTGTAAATGGAAATTACACGAAGTTGAACTCCACAATTTTGATCAACAAAAAAAAATGTATTCGAATATTACTTTTAAGGAATTTGCAAAAATTGTTGTACCTTGTCTTTAAAGGATAAATTTTTTAAAATAATATTTTGTGACAATATTGTTGCAACATCTCTGAGTAATATCCTTAAAAAAATTTTCCGTTGATCAACTCTGAGAAAATTCAAATTAGTCACAATAATTATGAAAATTATTGGAAATAAATACTAGGTAATGAATTATAATCTACCCCGCAAAGACTGCAGAAGTCAATTTTTTTGTGTTTGTGAAAAAATTAATTTGTACGAGAGAAAAGAAAATTGACTTTTGTAGTTTTTTTTGCACTGTAATTAATAATTAACTGGAAAAAAAAATAAATTGAATGAGATATAATTGAATATGCGAATATTCTCAAGGTGCAACAATCCATGGTTGAGTCATGTCGACAACAAAAATTTCATGATTCTTGTGCTTGTATTTGATATGTCTTCGAATGCCGGCCCTAACTTTGCATTTATAGTCGCAATAGGGGCATTTGAATTTTGGTGCTTTGCCACATTGATATCGAAGATGACTCAATAGATTTCGTTTCCAAACAAATGTACTGTGACACCCTTGATTCGGGCAGGAGAATACATTACTCCTCCGCATAAAATTTGACCCCTCGGCTCTTGTCGGATGCACAACTCTTCTTCGTGAATGTCCCGATGATCTTGTGTACGTTCCGGAAATTCCTAAAACAATTCGTGTTTGTTAATAAAAAGGCAATTATAACGATTTAATTAATTGTAGTAAACTAGATTAATTATAAATAATTTGTTATTATAAATATAGATTATAAATAAAAATTATAAATAAAGATTATAAATAATTGTTATAATAAATAATTCTTATTGTAGATAGTGCTTATAATAAATCATGACTATAAGTAATTGTTATTATAAATAGTGCTTATAATAAATGATTATAAATAATTGTTACTATAAACAGTGCTTATTATAAATAGTGCTTATTGTACACGAAGAAAAATGTAAAGTAACTTTTACTACTTTTACAGTAAAACATTTCTGGTTAAGCATTTCTGGTAACTTTTACTCTTTTCGGAGTAAATTTTCCTCGAAGTAAATTTTACTATGTCCATAAAAAATATTTGTAAAAATTAGTCAAATTTACTTCGAACATAGCAAAATTTACTTCCGAAAGTATAGTAAAAGTTACCAGAAATGCTCATCCAGAAATGTTTCACCATAAAAGTAGTAAAAGTTACTTTACATTTTTCTCCGCGTACATAATACTTATTAAATCTAATACCGATTTTTAAAACTATTTTCAAACTTATTCTTCACCGGAAAAAAAATTGTGTAAAAAGGTAAAAGAAAAGAACTATTTATAAAAAAAATTGTGTTTATCCCCCAAAAATGTTAGAATCTCTTCTCAGAATAATTTTTTAATACAAAAATTTCTTTTATGGTGCGCAAACATACGTCATACATTTTCCCTCGCAAATAATTATTATTTGCAAAATTATTTATTTACAAAAAAATTTCTATATAGTTGGAAAAAGAACAAACGATGTATAATGAAATTATTCAAATGATGTCATTTTATTGTTATTTATATTTTACAAGTTTGCGTAAAATTCGTACTATGCATACGTAATTTATAATAGTCATTCATCATAATATGGATGAAAAAAATATACACTCACATAGGAGAAAATATAAAAATTATAATAGTAGTGTTTTTTACAAATAAGGAAAACTTATCTTACATTATTCTTATATTCCTGAATACTGGTTCAAAAAGTATACGCTAGCAAACACTAAGAAAAATATTACTTATTTCATAATCTTTAGAAACTAATCCTTAAAAATGAGAAAATAAATTTGTTTTTTTTATTGTTCAATGTAAATTCATAAAAAAGACGAAAAAAATTTGATTTTTAGTGATGCATGTCGAGAAAGTAAATGTTTGTTTATAGAAACGAAAAATAAACTTAAATTTTGAATTTATAAACAAAAAATTAAAAATTTGTTTTAATTCAAGAATTCAGACGATAATTATGATGATAAAAGGCTCGAATTTTTTTTAAAATTTGTCGACGTGAAACACTTAAAATTTAATGGATCATTTCGAATAGTAATTAATCATTTCGCATTGATGATAAAAAATAACGATAAAAATAATAATAATAATAATAATAGTAATTGTGATAATTATAATAATTATAATAATTATTATCACTGTTAACTTAAGAATACCAACACAATTTTTCAGCAGATATCAAATTGAGACAAAAAACGAATCAAAAGTATTGCGAAGCAACATTTTTATTCGTTTTTTGTCTCAATTTAATATCTGCTGAAAAATTGTAAAATTCGTCAAATATTTAGTAACAATTTGACCAAAATGTTTGGTATCAAATTGACCCAAATATTTGGTATTAAGTTGCCCCATGGTTGGTATCAACTTGTCCCAAATGTTTGGTACCAATTTGACCTAAACGTTTGGTACCAATTTGCCCCATATGTTTGGTATCAATTTGCCCCATGGTTGGTATCAATTTGACCCAAATGTTTGGTACCAATTTGCCCCAAATGTTTGGTATAAATTCGCCCCATGATTGTTATCATTATGACCCAAATGTTTGGTACCAATTTGACCCAAATTTTTGATATCATAATCGATCCAAATGTTTGGTACCAATTTGATACTTTCAATAAGAAAACTGCGACAATTAATGTAATAATTATTACAATATTAATAATAATAATAATAATAATTATAATAATAATCATACTAATAATTATTGGAATTTAAGTAAATCAATTGCAGTTGACCACGTGAATTTTCGAATTCTTATGCATTCGTTTAATGTGTCTGACGACATTCGCCTTCCACATGCAACGATAATTGCAATGGCTGCACTGAAACCTCGGCTCTCTTCCGCACTCGTTTCGGACATGTTTTTTCCACGTGCTCTCCCAAACAAATGCCTTCGGACAATTCGGACAAGCAAATTGCTTCGTTTTTTGATCACTGTATCTGCCACAGTTAATAAAATATTGTCCTGCGAACAAACAAAAAAAAAAACATTTTTGATTAGTACAAGAAAAAGATTAAATATTCGTTTTTAATAAAAAATCACATAGATAAAAGGAACTTTAAAATTTAAACCACCTTTTTTGTCAATATGATTTTTATTAAATAAAGTTAATTATAAATATATTTGTTTAGCGAAGAGAAAAAGCTTTATTTCGAAAAAAGAAATCTTTACGGAAATAGGAGGGGGGAATGGAAAAAATTTTTTTCAGAACATTTTTAGAGGAAAGAATATTATAATATTTGATGTGTATGAAAGGTTCAATTTTTTGTCTGCTCTATAAGATTTTTATTTTCTTCGTTAAATATTTTTCTTACAAATCTTGATACATAAAGATACGCAGTGAAAAAATTATTATCACTTAATGGTATTTTTTTTTTTATAAAAAAATACTGTCGATAACGCAAGTATAAATTTTTTGGGTATGGAAGTGATTGAGTAAAGAATTTTTAGCTTCGTTTTACTATGGAAAATAAAAGAATCGAAATAAAAATTTAATAGATGGAAACAAAAAAAATTAACGGTTATCAATTTATCATTTTGAAGCTTATGTTTCCTAAAAGTTTATTTTCCACGATATATTTGTTTAGTCATATAATTATTAATCGATTATTATAAATTATATGGACTTTGCGTTTAACACCAAATTTTTTAAAACTAACACACAAAATTCGTTTGCCTTGAAGAAATTTTGAAAAGAAAAGTTTTTTATTCTGACAATTTAATTTATCAATTTAATTTACGAAGTGAAATGGAATTCGAACTAAATAAAATTCAATTTTAATCAAATGGATCTTCATTGAACCAAATGAAATCCAATTTGAACCAAATTAATTTTAATTGAACCTAATGAATTTTAATTAAACCAAATAAAATTCAATTTGAATCAAATAAAAATCAACTTGAGTCAGAAAAATTTAATTTAACCAAATAAATTTTAACTAAATAAAATAAAATTCAATTTGAACCAAATAAGATTCAATTTCAACCATTGAAATCCATTTTTAACAAAATAAATTTTAATTGAACCTAATGAACTCCAATTTGAACCAAATCAAATCCATTTAGAACCAAATTAAATTAAATTTCAACCAAATGAATTTTAATTGAACCAACTAAAATGCAATTTCAACCTAATAAAATCCAATTTGAACCAAATTAAATTCAATTTGAACCAAATAAATTTTAATTGAACCAAATGAAATCCAATTTGAACCAAATAAATTTTAATTGAACCTAATGAAATCCAATTTGAACCTAATGAAGTCCAATTTAAACCAAATTAATTTTTAATTTTTAATTAATCCAAATGAATTTCAATTTCAATCAAATGAAATTCAATTTGAACCAAAGGAAATTGAATTTGAACTAAATGAAATTTAATTTGAACGGAATGAAATCCAATTTGTACCAAATGAATTTTAATGGAACCAAATGAAATTGAATTTAACCAAATGAAATTGAATTTAACCAAATGAATTTTAATTGAACCAAATAAAATGCACTTTCAACTGAATAAAATCCAATTTGAACCAAATTAAATTCAATTTGAACCAAATAAATTTTAATTGAACCAAATGAAATCCAATTTGAACCAAATAAATTTTAATTGAACCTAATGAAATCCAATTTGAACCTAATGAAGTCCAATTTAAACCAAATTAATTTTTAATTTTTAATTAATCCAAATGAATTTCAATTTCAATCAAATGAAATTCAATTTGAACCAAAGGAAATTGAATTTGAACTAAATGAAATTTAATTTGAACGGAATGAAATCCAATTTGTACCAAATGAATTTTAATGGAACCAAATGAAATTGAATTTAACCAAATGAAATTAAATTTAACCAAATGAATTTTAATTGAACCAAATAAAATGCACTTTCAACTGAATAAAATCCAATTTGAACCAAATTAAATTAAATTTGAACCAAATAAATTTTAATTGAACCAAATAAAATACTATTTGAACCAAATGAATTTTAATTGAACTAAATGAAATTCAATTTGAACCAAATGAAGTTCAGTATGGACCAATTGAAATTTAATTCGAACCGAATTAAATCCAGTTTGAACTAAATGAATTTTAATTGAACCAAATAAAATGCAATTTCAACCGAATGAAGTTGAATTTGAACCAAATTAAATTATATTTGAACCAAATGAATTTTTATTGAACCAAATAAAATTCAGTATGAACCAACTGAAACTTAATTTTAACCAACTGAATTTTAATTTAACCAAATAATATCCATTTTGAACCAAATAAATTTTAATTGAACCAAATGAAATGTAATTCGAACGAAAAAAAAATACTCAAAGGCAAACATAATTTTATTCTAAAGGATTATCAATTTCAATTTCTTCGACCTTAACATCAAGTTCATTACACTCACTGGACATTTCTCTGTTCTCATCACCGACCAATACAAAATTCTCCTCTCTTGCGTGCGCATGTTTAATATGCTTGTTCATGACAATATTATTTTTACACATAAACGTACAAAAGGGACACTCGAGATTTTTCCCCTTTCCGCAAACATTGCGAATATGTCTCGCCAAATTGTACTCGTATTTAATCAAACTACCACAATTATTGGGACAGTAAAAATTTCTCCTCCCTTGTGTACTAGTACCAGAACTGTCAATTTTTCCCTCCTCCTCAACATTCATCGAATCGGATTGATTCGTAGTTTCGGAAAATGTACTCTCGTTGAAGGAACTCTCAACTTGGGATGATAATGATAGTGATGAGGACGATGCGTCTTGAATGACGATTTCTTGAATTTGATTTTGAATTCGATTCTGAATTTGATCTTGCATTCGATTCTGAATTTCACCTTGAATTTGATTTTGAATTTGATCTTTAATTTGATTTTGAATTTGATCTTCAATTTCAACTTCAATTTCGTCCTCAACGAGGTCTTCAATTTCCGGTTCGATTTCCTCTTGCACTGGTTCCTCGTACTCCTTTTCCTTCTTCGCCGGATAGAGAGGTAAATTTCGCACCGATTGACTAATAATACTCGGATGACGAAACTTAATGTGCTGATCCAAGTTCCAACCGTGTTTGCACATTTTACCGCAGAACGGACATTTGTAGGCTCTAGCATTCTCCTTCTTTGGTCGTAAATTTAACGCTTCACTTTTCTCCTTCTCGAATTCGTCGCGAATACTTTTATTCTGAATGGAATCAAAGTCGTCCGAATATTTGCTACCGGCGATTTCGTAGATCACTTGCTTTCGTCGGAAGTCAATGACGAAGGCTTTTCTCTCGGGATGTCGATGCTTGATGTGAGTGACCGTTCCCCATTCCTGGCGGCATTTCTTCGAACAATAAGGACACTTGTAGCGCATTTTCCCGCAGACGAAACGCTGATGATTCTCCATTGTGTGCTGAAAGTTGAATGCCATTCCGCATTGGTTGGGGCATTGGAATCGTTTGTTGGACTTCTTGCCTTCGGTGGTCTCCTCGTCGGGTAATGATGAGGAGGGTTCCTTGGGATTCTTCTTTTCGGTCACTTTGATCCGACGACGTAGTTCCTTGTAGACCGTTTGTTTCGTGAAGACGTTGATGGCGCAGACTTTACTGAGTTTGTGGTTCTGTTCGATGTGCTTCTTTATTAGGTTGTAGGTTCTGGTTCTGTATTTGCAGTAGGGGCAGAGGTAGCGTTGGACTTTGGTGCAGGTTTTTCGAATGTGACGACTAATGTTCGAGACGTGATCGAAGGTGATTCCGCATTTGTTCGGGCATTCGTGACGCTTCGTACTTTCGATTTCTGTTGCGGTTTCGGATGCGGATCCTTCTTGGCGGATTTTTTTCGGTGACTCCTTCTTCTCTAGGATCTTCTTGAGCCAGGTGTCGATTACATGGACCTTTTGCATTCGGTGATGTTTGCTGACATGTCGCATGATGCTGTAACTGTACTCCGAACGGGAATCACAGTAGGCGCACTTGTAGCGGAAATTATGTCGGGGATAAACTCTTCCGCAGTCGTACCGAGTGTGTTTTTGCAGGGCAGCTTTCACGTAGAAGTAATTACCACAATTGTTAGGACAGGCTAGTCGTCTTTCTAGCGTATTTACCGGAACGTCCGTTTTTTGCGGTGGAATCGCAGAGAGAACGTCTTCCTGACTTTCGGGAATTATTTCGTCGTCTGACATGGCACTGACGTCGACGTAGTTGTCAAAATCGTTGTCTGCTTCTATTTCACTATCGTTGCCTTCTTCAACGTTGCCTACTTCGTCGTTGTCTTCCTCGACGTTCTTAAATTCTTCGATGTCTTTAAATTCTCCGACGTCTTTAATTTCATCAGCGTTGGTTTTCGCGACTGGAGTTTCCTTCGCGAATTCTGCGGAGGGTTTGGTTTTAGCATTAGTGGAATGTTGATAGAGAGTTGAGACCCGAGAAATATTTACAGTGGGTATTTTTGAGCTTAGCATGAT